TCATACTCACTCACACTCAAAGGGTGTTCATCCCAAATTGTATAGTTAAAAGTCTGTAGAGATTCTGAATCTCTGAATAGTGATTCTCAGTCTTCCAAGTCATGGTTGTCCCAACCATATTTTTTCAATTGGACTTTGTTTCCTGAGGATACAGTTAAACCTCCAAGTGGCCTCAACAAGTCTGTAAAAAGGATGCAAATGACCAACTGTTTACAAAGAATATAAATCCTTCCGCTCCCCACTATCCAGTCAGAGCTGAAGAAGTTTCTTGGATGAGAAGTGAAACATCTTCAAAGAAAAAACAAGAAAGTCCAGCTGCCTCCTGAAAAAAAAAAGCACCTTTGGGACAACCATGACTTGGATGGCTGAGAATCTCTATTGATCCTGCAAAACTCAATCCATTTTTCTGCATTTAACGTTTTTTTTAAACCCTTTTTAAATCCAGCGGGGGGGGGGAGTGATGAGAACAGCCAGCCCCGCCCCTTTGCGACGTAAGTATCAGCCACGCAGGGCACCCTCCCCCCCCCCTTCCGATAGGGCGCAAGGGGCTTACGTAGATCAGCTCCTTCTGGGCTCTGCGTTCAGCTAGGGTCTCTTTCAGGGTGCCTTTCCTCTGCGGCTGCGCAGCGCCTGAAAAACAAACGGACGCTATGGGGCGACTGGGCTTCCTTCCTCGCCACGCCGGGAGGGAAACCAGCCCCTGTCTTTCTTTTGGGCCTACCTCCCAAGCTCGCGTATCCGGCCGAGCTCGGTCGCCGCCGCCGCCAGAGCACCAAGCACCTCCGCCAGGCCAGCGCCATCTTTTCCCCGGCGCAGCCGATGGTGACGTAACCGCAACGCCCGCGCAGAGAGATGAGCTCAACGTGCGGGCAATGGCGCGCGGGACGGCCCGTAGCCTCACGTACTACGCCTGCGCAGATGCCTCAGGAGTGTGCGGGGATGGGTGTCCTCTGCATAACGACGTGCAGGGAATTCTGGGAGTTGAAGTCCGCGCATATCATAAAGCCGCCTAAGGTTTAACGGGCGCTGCTCCGAGGATGCGCCCTTGCCGCAAGTCCAATGGGCGCGGTGGGCGTTGCACCCGAAGGAGAACGAAGAGTTGGCGAGCAGGCAGATTCTCACAAGGGCAGCCGAGATTTCCTGCTTGGAGGTCGACCAAACAGCGTAGAGTTGGAAGGGACCTTGGAGGTCTTCTAGTCCAACCCCCTGGTCAAACCGGAGACAAATGGCTCTTCATTCATAAAAATATTCATAAATAAATCGCTCTTTTATGTATAGTTACGACTAAATAAATTCATTCGAGTTTATGAATTATTTATAAAATATTCATTTTATCAATGCTTATTTTCATAGATAAATCACTTTTTATTGATTCATTTAAAAATCATATTTCAAAGAAGAATTGCCATGAGAAGAAAACCAAAGAGCCATGCATGGAATTGCCAGGTCATCATTTAAGGGAGCAGACATATTAACCCTTCACATCCTGGACATAAATTGTTTCAACTTTTACCCTCAAAATGACATTATAGAGCACTGCACACCAGAACAACTAGACACAAGGACAGCTTTTTCCTGAATGCCGTCACTCTGCTAAACAACTACTCCCCACAACACTGTCAAAACTATTTACTAAGACTCTATTACTATTATTCTTCTCTTCCTTCCTAGTATCTATCTCTCCCCACCGCTGCTTGCATCTTTCAATTTATATTGTTCTTCGGGATTGGGCGGCCTATAAATTTATTAAATACTTAAATACTTATTTGTTTCCTAGTACTATTTCATAGCTTTCTAGTAATCTTGACTATCACTAAGTGTTGTACCTTTTTATTCTTGATGAATGTATTTTTATCCTCCTTATGTACACTTGAGAGCATATGCACCGAAGACAAATTCCTTGTGTGTCCAATCACACTTGGCCAATAAAGAATTCTATTCTATTCTATTCCATATTCTATTCTAATTCTGATCCTTTTCCATTCCCGATTCTATTCTATTCTATGTGGATGGTCAAAGATGACTTTACTTTAATCCAAGGGTGTGTATTTTGCACAATGGATGACCTTGCAGTATTCCAGACCTCTAGACTGGAATACTGCAACGTGCTCTACATGGGGCTGCCCTTGAGGAGTATACGGCGACTTCAGCTAATCCAGAATGCAGCCGCGCGAGCGATTGTGGGTGCACCTATCCTCCGCGAGCTGCACTGGCTACCTGTCGATCTCCGGGTACGCTTCAAGGTGCTACTTGTCACTCATAAAGCCCTCCATGGTAGTGGATCTGGGTA